CCATGTATACATGTTATTAAACTTGGTATTATTTTCTCCTGCTAACCTGTCTTGTTAATTATTTGGCCAGCCATAAGAACCTTAAGGGAAAGGGCAGAGGAGGATTTTCCCTCTTCCCCCTCAATAGCCACCTTAGTTTTAAGGGACTTGGCTTGATCAATGATATATCAGAATTCTAACAGGTTTCTACTGAAAGTTAAATTCTGATTCAGGTATAGTTCGAAATCACAGTGACTTTATAAACTTTAAGCACAAGGATAGAACACTCTACACTAATCTTATCGTACTATTATGTACATGTAATATTATAATCCATGTCTGATTAGAGGGTAAAAAGATACATAGGCAAACGTAGTCTAGAATGATTTATTTCTTTTATTTCTGTTTAAATCATTTCCCAGCCTCTCCAATCTCCTCTGGCATCTAAAAATCAATGAGCCAGGAATTCTACAGCCCACTGACAAGTGCCTATCACTCTTCAGAATTTTTGAATAAGTGGAATGATTAATTCATTTAAATTTATTGCCCAGGAAATATCAGAGGCGGCAGATGTTTTTCTCAATAGTGATTTACATTGAGAAGAAAATGAAAATCCTGGCTATTTTAATTAAGTGAATGCACCACTAAATCCAAGACCCTTTCCCTTGCAATTTCTTTAAGGAGCAAAAGTGCTCTTTGCCTGGTTTTTGTTTCTGTTTGATGGCATAAATTTTTACCACTTCTTTTCCTCACCTTAATGGGGGAGATGTCCCTAAAGATTGCTGCCTTGGAAACTGATTAATCTCCAGTCACTAAAGCTCTCTACTGACATTGCAAAAAAGCTGTGGGGATCTCTTCATTAGCCTTGAGATGGAAAGCTTTAGATAAGCACAACTAAATTTCAACTCTAACATCCTCAGGGTGTATTAACAAGGCAAGGTTTTACAGCATCTCAGGACTAATATTTTCTCCTTTCAGATACATTTTCATCACAGAGATTTTGCAGGACTACATACATCTGTCTTAATAATACTCAAAACTGCTAATATAAGTCTTGGGACTATTATGCAATTGGAACTTGTTATCAGTAACTTCTTCCTATCATTTTTCAGTGATTGAAAGTGATGTGGCTTTAAGAGATTTACCAAGTTGATTCACTCTTCTTTTTTTGTAAATCACACTCAAACAAACCATAAGTATGTTCTATGATTTAATAATTTTCATTTAAATTACTACATTTCAGCCTGTGTTTTTTAAGTTTTTTAAAAAATTTTTCCTTAGGATTTATTTTTTGGTGAAACTTGTTAGTTGTCAACAGCTGACACCAGTACCAGTTCTTTCACATAGCTGCACCTACCCTACCAGCTAAATTTGAGACACTGAAACAATTACATTGCTCTATAACTACTGTGCTTAAAATTCTATTTAAATATAAGCCAATAAATATTGTGCCCTATCAACAGCTGTTTTCCCCAAAATTAAATAAAACTAGATATCTAAAAAGGGACAGACTAATAGTCTATGAAATTTTCATTGGTTCATTCCACATGCACTTTTGCCCCGTATACCAACATCCACCTTTCCTTTTCCTTTTCTTATTCATATTGGAGAAATGATAATAGCTTTATATTTAGTCACCATTATTTTTCCCAAATGTGAATTTCAATCACAAGAAGGAGAAAGAAAAAGCATTGGCATAATTCAATTTCATTTCTACTCATTGTTATGTCTCATTAAGCTTCCGGTCCTGATATATTTTAAATCAAAATAAGGTGAGTCAGAAATTACTCAAGTGACTCTTCATATTTACCTTAAACTTATTTTCTTCTATGAATGTATATTTCTCAATGCAATTCTATGGTAAACTGAATATTAGAAAAATAAAAACTAGAAAAATCGTCAGAAGACATAGAGAGCAAAACACATGTATCACTTGCTTTTCAAAGTAATTAACATTTTTGTTGAGTACTTTCTAGTGCAAAGCACTAACTATAGTAAAATATGTGATATAATTTTTTACAAGAGAGACTATGACTAGTATTTTCATAAGCACATAAATGCATTTCCATGGAAATGCAGAGAAAGGGGAGAGTTAAATCATATTGGTTCACACATTCCAGAACTTTCCAGCTTTAGAAATGTCAATGTGCCAGACATAGATGTGGAAATTGCATGAACAAGACCATCTGCTACAGCAGGATGTCTTTAGAGAATAAGTGCTAAGCAGGGCTAGACCTGGGCAGTGAACTGATAGATAATGTAGGAGAGATAAGTTGGATCTGGATTACAGGGGCCATGTTTTTCTATAATAAGGTACCTGGACTTAATCTGAGTGAATATTCCAAATTTTTTGAGCAAAGTATAGACATTATCAGAGATGTATTGAATATGTATTTGAAGATATAAGAAATCTGGAATTCACCCAATCCAAACTATCATAGTCCAGAAGAATGTAAAGTAGATTGATTGAACTCAATAATTCACACTAGTTAGTGACAAATTTCTATTTCACTTAAAACATCTAACACAGGGCAGATATACTATATATGTCTAACCAACATTTTTATTTAAATAAATGTCTCCCCAAGCCTATTTTCTCAAACTCTCTTTCTCATTTCATATTTTTTGGATAATATATTTTTTTATTACAGTAAAATATACATAACATGAAACTTACCATTTTAATAATTTTAGTGTACAGATCAGTGGCATTAAGTATATTCACATTGCGCCATTACCACCATCCATCTGCAGAATTTTTCATCTCCAAAAACTGAAACCCCATGCCTATTAAACAATAACTTTCCATTTGTT